TTTCGCAGATTTTTTGAATGATGCATGTTCAGCAAGATTATATTATTAATTATTCAGCAAGAAGTTCACATTTACAGAACTGCTTTGATTTCTGTGAAACGGGAGCGTTTATTCTCAAAGAATCGCAGCTATTGCTTTAAGAGAGTCTAATGGGAGAGAAAACAGGGGCTTGTGAATTAAAAGGGAATTAAAAACCACTGTCCACACAGCACGAGCAACTTAAAATTGTGATATTCTTTGAGCTTAAGTCATCTAAAAAATAAAAATAAAATAGGTTTGAGTGACCAGCAGTTGGCAAATTTAATCAGGTGCTTCTAATAAAAAACAGATCCACAAAATTGCTCATTATTATGTCCAAGTACAAGTTCAGTATGTGGATAATTCAATTCATCACGGGTTTGGTCGCTATGTTGAGTAAAAGAAAAAGAAAAAGGCTGGCCAGATGTGCAAGTGTCATCTGCCCTGAACCAGCTGGGACCCCCAGACTTGTTCTGTACTGTGAAGCACTTATAATCTGTTTGCTCTTTTAATGAGCTCATTGTTCCTCTGAGGGGCGAAAAGCAGGTCTCACCGCTGCTTAGCTGCAGCCTCTTAAGCAGGAAAGCTTCTGAGTACCGCTGATGCTCTGCTCATCTCAAACATATTGCGGAGGTCTGAGACTTAAGTCTGTCTGCCACAAAGCCAGAAGCCCCAGTCCTCCTGGGACTTGTATTGTACTTTTCACTTAAAAGTGCCAAATGCATCTGCCAGTTTGCCATTTGTTAATATTTAAATGATTGAGTTTGGTAAATGAATAATAAAAGGCATCTGGTGTTTTAGCATTTATTAAATCTCACCCCAAAAATATTTTTGAACTGATCACATACTTCCAAAAATGTCCAATTTTGAATAGTATGATTTTATGCATCTCCTGTTTATGATAACTGAATCCCAATAAAATATTCATGATTAGGAGAATAACAACACAGTGGATATGAATTACCACTTAAATGTATGACAATTAATGTATATGAGATCATGCAAAAGTGAAAGGCAGCTGATCCAGCAGCTGTGTCAGTAGACAGCAACAAATAATGGCAACAGTG